GTTCCAACTTATCGTTTAGTCCCTCACGTGTATCGTCGATAAGCACAATATCATCCGCGAAAAGCATGCACCATGGGACCCCTTCTTGCACACCTTGAGTTAGGACGTCCATCACCAAGGCGAACAAAAAAGGGCTAAGGGCAGACCCCTGGTGCAACCCCATCCCTACCGAGAATGACTCAGAGTCGCCCCCGAAGGTCCTTACCCTAGTCATAGCTCCATCGTACATATCCTTGATCGCGCGAGTGTATGCGATGGGAACTCCTCTCGTCTCAAGGCACCTCCATAAGACCTCCCTTGGCACCCTATCGTACGCCTTCTCAAGATCAATGAACACCATATGAAGGTCCTTCTTCCTAGCCCTATACTCTTCCATTAACCTCCTCACGAGGTGAATGGCCTCTGTAGTCGATCTGCCAGGCATGAACTTCTAATTTCATTGGTGGATCATTAGATAAAATGTTAAGGTATATATGCACAAATATATGACATGTGCTCCTCCAGGACCTAGGAAACTAAAATAAATTCAGGAATGAAATGTACAAATTGAGCATAATCAACTTCGGCTGGAAAAAGCTTTTGTGAAATATGGTCTCAAAAGTTATGAACTAAACTGCCACACTCAGCCTTTTGAAAATTATAGAGAGCTATAACCTTGCGCTTAACTCAACCTTGCCAACAGCTCAATATGATTTTCAAGCAAAACTTGACAGCTTGCCCGAAATGTTATAAATGTTTCTTCTTAAAGAGAATCTACAAATCATCCTAAACTTAAACAAAGATTCCAAGTAGGAATTTGACTTCATTAGGTGGCAATTTGCAACCAACCCAAACAGTGCCATTTAAGATCTTCCAAGTATCCCTCATTAATGTATAACAAGCTAGTTCCAGGTGCACTTATCTTCTTCAGAGCTATTTATAACTACTCATTGCATCATTTGAACCTCAATGCAGAATAACACGCTTCACTCAGTTCGCTTAAATAGCTAAATTATAAAATAAAAACTTTTAATGCAGTTATAGCATTTTTTTCATCAAGTAGCCTGGATTCCAAACTTATACAGCCAAATAAAAAGTCAAGCACATTCCCATCTTTGTGCATCACCTTAGTGATGCAAATAGATTAGTGATTGAATAATCATAACTTCTAAGTCCTGACAAGTGGCCAACTCAATTTAACCATCTTCGACCACTACCATAGTCAACAACTAAGATAGGCACAATCAGTCCTTAAGAAAGAATTGAGTCCTCCAACACTCGAACTATCCTGAATCCATCCACAAGGATTAACTTCATCTAATGAGATTGCCTCAGTCCACAAGGTTAAATCTAAATGAACCATACATCATTAAATCAGAACTCAGTAATGATGAATTACACGCTTGAGCATCATGAGCTGTCAAGTAACCCTTTTGCATTATTGTGTCCATGGAACCTATAATTAGTTTAGCTTATCCAAAACATTGATGAGCTAACATAAAATATAAGCTTTTTTCCTTGACCGCCACATTCAAAACTTCACTTCTTGCACTAGAAGATTATGTTCTTATCCTAATAAATTATTTTATTAAAAGGTAAACAATGTACTTTTACTAGGTTGCGATGTTTTGCACTTTTACTAGCAAAATTTAATGCTGAAGTAGTAAACCATTCAAAACACATACAGAATCAAGAAAGAGGTAAAGTGACAATATTGTTACCTTCAAGGAAATAACAGACTAAATCAAATTGACATGTTAAACTTCCTCAGCTTCATAGATTTCTGATGTTTTCGGTAGTAAATGCAACAATTCATCAGTCTCTCTCTAAAGATTTACAGGGGTAAGGCTATGTAAATCATGACCCCCATCAAGATGTTAAAATGGGTTTTGTTGGCATAGCCATACAGAACTAGATAAGGGCAATTTGTACCGCTCACATTACAGAACAAGCGAGGATTTGCATAATATCCATCCTCATAATATGGGGGTGTTTCTCTATGCTGGTGCTTATTGGCTTATTGCTGATAAGCAATTTTTATCTTATAAGTTGCTTATAAGTTTTTTTTGTGCAAGTAAAAAGACTTAAATGATAGATAAGTCATCTGGGGGTATTCATAAACGGTGGGAGATAGTTTTGTAAATAATTTCGTCAAAAGGGATAAAAAACTAGCTTTAAAATTAATAGGTATAACCTACTTGATTTTTTGGTAATATTCGTGTCTCTTTGCACAGTAGACGGCTGATTATTCAATTTTTGGCGAATGTTCATCAAAACAGGTTGAATATTCGTGTCCTTTCGTGAGTGATACAAAGGTTTTTCATTCACAGAACCGGTTTCTCTAGTTATTAGAGGTATATTCTAAAAGAAACGTTGAAAAGGAAATATTTGAGAGAGCTGAATTACTCCTGAGACATAGGCAAAAAAGGAACAGATTTCAAGATCTAGTTGATCCTTACACAAAGGAATTTATTACTAACTGAGCTAGCCAACATTACAAAATCATAACTCCAAAACACCTGTAATATCCAGAATGCATAACAGTTTACTCCAAAGATCAGAAGGGAGAGATAAGAACGTAAAGTTGAAAAGTTCGCAATCCCAAATAGAAACTGTTCTTAATTGGCATAGAGATAATGCAAAAATGAATCAACAGACTCATTCATCATTCAAGACAAACAACATCAGCAATTATGAGTTCTAACTGGAATACTAAAAAAAGAACCATCTAAATTCAACTCATATGAATATCAATAAGTACAATCCAAAAGCCCCGCACCAATACTCAATAAATAATGAGAGTTGCTTAATCAATATTCAATATAAGAAGAATGAAAAGAAAAAAAAAAGTAAAAACCTGGCTAAGAGCACAGTGGAAGACGAGGGTATCTTTGCCCTGGACTTGTTGGAGAAGAGTGGGGAGTTTGTCCAAGAATGTATTGCTGGCGAAGTGAATGGATCCGCGTATATGCCCATCACACTTTCTCTCATCATCCCTTAGAGAAAAAAAAGGGGGGGGGGGGAGAAAGAGAGAGAGATCAGAAGTTGGGACCTTCACCGGAAGAGTTACTGAATTTTAGGTTTAAGGGTGTTTTACTCACCGGACGTCGATGATGGCGATGTTGGGACGGTAGGTTTTGAGGGATTCGATGAGTTTGGAGCCGGTGATATACGAGATGTTGCGCGCCATTGAGCTTCTTGTTGTTGCGTCTGATTAAAAGTTCCTTTCTTTTTGTAGACATTTTATTATACCAATACTTGGTTAAATTATATTCATACTCGTGCACGGAAAGAAATTATATCAAATTTTAAATGATTAATAATAAAAAAAATATAAATTAGTAAGTATAAATTTAGATAATTACTTTATAGTTATTTTATTACTCAAAACTAAAAATTAAATGATCCATTATTGGTAATGTACAAATTAAAATTAGGGAATTTAAGTAATTTCATGTGAGCATTTTTTTCCGAATGCCAACGTAACATAATTCATTTGGGATCTGTTACACTAATTACTACGGAGTATATAATTGTCTGTTACACTAATTACTATATAATTTTAATACTCCGTATAATTTTAATCAAACAATAATTTATATACATCAAATAAATATTTTGTTAAGTTTAACCAAAACTTAAGGAACATATTCGATGGTCTAAATTATACGCATACAGCTGATGGTGTAAATATAGATGGACGGGTTCCCGTTGATGGAGGATGACTCCAAAAGACACGTCAGCCGGGCCCGTCAGCCACGTGGAAGAGCTTTCTGCTCGGAATATGAGCTCGGCTCGGCCTGCGAGCTCGGCTAGGCAATGTGACAGCGATGGGAGGAAAGCGACCGGCTGCGTTGACTATGCGATAGCGACGGGATGAAAGGGACAACGCATAACAGAGATGACGTCCGCTAGGCGACGAACCTCGATCAGAGAAACTTTGACTATGTGTATTGTATCCCCTATAAAAGGGGCGAGACCCCTCATTGTAATGGATCCAAGTTTAGAACAAATAAACTCCTACTTTGCATTCTCTCTCTCTCTAAAACTTATATTATTATTTATTCTCGGTGGTTTATAGCCATCAAATTGGTGCTTTCATTGAGAGCGGAGAAACATACTCGTAGGTTAACTCTCGGAAGCGAGAATGGTGCATACAAGGAGCAACGTCCCCACCACCAGCCAAGTAGTTGGCGAGGAGATCGCACCGGGCAGCGGCAACGGTACGGGCGGCATCGGCTCGACTCCGGACGCGGTCCAGGCGCTGTTCGGCTTGGGGGTGACCACGGAGCAGCTCCAGGCAGCCGTCGCGGCACTTTCCGCCATGGGTGGGAACATGCCCGGCGCCGGAGCTGTTAAAGCTCCACCCGGTCCCCATACCGAACACGCTGCCACTTCCCAGCACAAGGGGAGGAAAACCCGAAGGAGCAGGAGGAGGCCCGGCAAAGCCCAAGTGTTCGAGGAGGTGATAGTGAAGGACGTTCCCGAAGGGGAGGACGATGAGTCTAGCGAAGGCCGAGTGTCAGCCTTCAGACGCTTAGGAGGTGAAGAGACTCGGGTGTCAGCCTTTAACAGGCTCGACCACGAACCGGATGGTCGCCCGGACGACCTCCGCCGACAAATAACCGAAGGGAGGCGTAGGCATGCTGAGGAGTCCGCAACGTCGGATGCTCACTCGGAGCGGAGCGGAGAGAGTCGGGAAGAGTGCACCCAGCGTCGCCACAGCCCAACCAGAACTGAGAAGACAAAGGCCTCTGACCAAGGGGTATCTCGACTCGCTTGGGAGATCGCCGAGCTCAAGCGCCGGGTAGAGACCAGGGCTCCTTACAACCAGCCCATCTTGCGGACGGTAACCCCGTTCACTCCGAGGGTCATGTCGATTCTGTTACCGGTGAACTTCCGGCCGTGGCAGATCAAGGCCTACAACGGAACGACGGACCCCCAAGATCATTTGTCTAAATTATACGCTTCTATGGAAGCGGCGGCAGCCCCGGATGAAGTCAAGTGCAGATGTTTCCTCGCAACGCTGGAAGGCTCCGCGTGTGATTGGTTCAATCGACTCCCGAATGGAACCATTGACGACTGGGATACACTAGCGGAGAAGTTCCTAACACACTTCGCGGCCAACAGAAGGCAAAGGCTGCCCTACTCCCACCTGCTCAACATATGCATCCGCAAAGGAGAGAAGGTCCGCAACTTCATAGTCCGGTGGGAGAAGGAGGCTAGGGACGTGCACGGGGCGGATGACCAAGTTGTCAACAACAACGACAATTCCTTACAAAACCTCGTTGAAGTACCATACAAGGAAATCGACATTATCCTTAGTATGCACTGACTGAACGTCGTTGTTGTTGACAACTTGTGATGAAGAATTCCTCAACTAAAGGCCAATGATGGTAACATCATAAGAGGTGAAAGCAAAGCTGATTTTTAAACCAACCGAGTTCATCTCGAATATATATGCAAACATGTCTCAACCATAAGAAGCGTGAAGTCTATTCGTGTGATACGCAAAAGAAAGATCTGAACTAAAGGAACGTACCGAAAGTATGTCACCTCTCTGATATGAACTTCCTAATATTTCACCGTTCCAAGAAATGGAATTTCTCTACCAATCTTGATCCCAAAGAGGACCAATATTCGTAACTCTGCATTAAATATGTTTATGTCAAACTAAATACTCGACTATAAAGATTGACTGACAAAGAAACATTTCACCAAGTATTTCCTCCTTAGGAGAAAACCCGTTCTATTTATACGTGAATCGATGAGATTCTGTAACAACTACTGTCAATTGAACAATCTGTTATCCTTTACCTCGTATCGATGACTTATTTGATCAGCTTAGAGGATCCATTGTGTTCTCTAAGATTGACTTGCGGTCAGGGTACTGTCAAATCCTTGTTATGAAAGATGGACAAACTGACAATCAAGAATCGCTACCCTTCACTACGTATAAATGATTTGTTTGAAGAACCTGTTTGTTAGAAGCTATAGACAGCTCGACCTTGTTGAATAAATTGATGCCTTTCATGAAGCGATTAATGACTTAATTGCTTATCGTCAAAAACGTCTGTAACGCCCCAAAATATGGTCTAAAAGTTATATTATTTTAAAATAAAAGTATTTTAGAAATAATATTTTGACTCATCAAAAATATTATTTCTATGTTTGACCAAAAACGAAGGAATTTTTAGAGTCAATGATTTTTTTTGTTAAGATTGACTTTTATGGATAGGTCTCAAAGAGACAAATCTAACGGTATATTTTATGAATAAATCTGATGTACAGATTTTCAATTATGACATTTTAAATATGTAATTTGTATAAAAATGAGAAAAAGTCAAAGATGTGAACTTTTTGAAAAATGGTTTATTGAAATAACTATTTACATTTAATAATATTGATTGAATATGAGACTAATTTTGATTACATATCAATTAATTCAATTTTGACTCTGTCAAAGTCAACACCCAAAAATATGCTGTCAGAAAAAGTATTTCAAATAAATATAAAAATTATATCATTAAATAGAGTTTAACTGTCTGACCGTAATGGTTCAATCAGATTTTAATTCGGAGAAAGTTGGACCAAAAAGTGTACCCCAATTGGAACCAAATTAGTCCCCATCAGGGACTTACGTAAGGAATTAATCAAATCCGTCGCCCCTCCCACTACCGCCGAACAAACAGTGCAAGAGGAGGTCATCCGGCCATGTCTTCTTCCTCTCCTTACCACTATATAATACCCCAAATTCTTACCATTCTTCACCATTCTTCTTCCAAAACAAAGGTGTGAGTATAGAGAGTAAAGTAGTGTTCTCAATTTGGTGTGAAGTCGCCGGAGCAAGCCGTGGTGTTCGCCGGAAGTTTCACCGTTTTTCCGCCGGAATCATCGTTTCACTCCGAAGTAA